AGCAAAACAGCAACTGATAAAATACACTGAGCATGTGACTCAAAAACAAACCCTCGGGCCCAGGCCCCAGAGGTGTGTGAAAAAACATTTTCCACTTATTTTGTTCCTCAGCCAGTGGACAATACAACTTCGATTTGAGATGCACAATGAGCCAGCAACTCGTACTAAATACATTCGAATATATAAAATTCTACATCTACAGTTAACTAAAAATATACAGATACTATATATTTAACAAGAATATAAATTACTTAATATTATATACTTCCTAAAAAAGAATACATCAATGTGGTAACATGGTTTCTAGTAACTAGTAAAGTACTATTACTCGTGATAAATATACTAAAGATATTTTTAATATAAATATACTAAAGATATTTTTACCAGATACAGCATTGGGGTAAAAATGCAAGAAATAAATAGCAATGCAAAGTCAGTCATGGATCATGAAACCTTTAACCCCCATGTGTGACCAGGACAGAATTTCTATGTTCAATATCAATACAAAATAAGGTGACAAGTGACAAGAATAAACAAAATTATTGATTAGAGTATTAGAAGTTAATCCCAAGTCCAAATTTTCCAAAGGGTTCCAAGGGTTCAAAGGTGCGTGCGCTTGTTTTTACTGGTCATACAAGATTTGTTAAATAAAAGGGAACTCTTTTGCTACAATGTATCAATTTTATGTTATAAAACAAATGGTAAACACCACAGTGTACAGATTGGTCAATTTAGCATCCCCCATTTGCCCATGGTTGTACACTGCTGACATGAGCAAATCCAAAGACTATTTTTTCCCGTGCGCTTGTTTTTTCTGGTCATGTAAGATTTGTTAATTAAAAGGCACCTCTTTTGCTACAATGTATCAATGTTATGTTATAAAACACTTGGTTAACGCCCCAGTGTACACTATTGAGTTATGGATGCACCTCGGTCGCTGGTACAGACCTCACTGCATTCGGTCTGTACTGGCGACCTCGGTCAAGATTCTCCCATACAGACCTCCCACTCGGTTAATAAGAACTAATTATAAGGAACCGCTCGACCAATCAGATTGCTGGAAACTCTTTGCTCAGCCCTGAAATCATACTAAGATATGATATTGCTTTTCTTGTGGGTCATTTCAGGACATGAAATGGGCTGAAGACAAGGACGCTGCTCAATGTCAGCAGTGTAATCAGCCGTTCTCTTTGGCCAGACGAAAGGTATTCTATAAGAAAATTCATTACCTGACAAGGGAATTCCGCGTTAAGTTGCACGCGAAAACCGGTCGTGACGAGTGCGATATCGAGTTTTAAGTGTAATTCAACGCGGAATTCCCTCGTCAGGTTATGAATTTTCTTTTAAATGCATGATAAGATAAAAATGAGAATAACAGAAACAGTGATATTGTTTGTGTTTATCCTGATCGCGAAACAAGAGATGCGATACAATATCACTCAGCCTCGTTTCAACTCGTAACTCCACGCCAAATACCTCGCTTCTTTAACCAATCAGCATGTGATATTTTAATAAATTATGCTATTCTAGCTGTTATTTTATGCATCTTCACTTTTCCTAGTATTCTGGTTTTGTGGAGTGTAATTATCATGAATAAACGTTCTCCGACCTTGCGCAACCTCCGTCTTTCGGAAAGCCCCCCTAAGAGTACAATAGAGGGCTCTTTTCTTTTGGTCGTGCGTTTTAAATTGATGAACTAACTCACATATTTGTCTGCTTTTAGCATCATTGTCGTAACTGCGGTGGTATCTTTTGCAATTCCTGTTCGGATTACACCATGCCTCTTCCCTCCTCGGCCAAACCCGTCCGTGTGTGTGACTCGTGTTATACAACACTACTGCAGAGATACCAGAGGTGACATGAGCTCGGGGTACATGTGGTCAGCGAATGTCGTGTGACGGTGTTGCTGTGAGATGTCTTGGAGACGTTTCGAGAAAAGAATGGATTCAATTTGAATTTTGGCGGAATGGTCACATCTTTAGTGTAAGCGTGGTGGGGTTGCAATTTTCATAGGAAGTATTTTCGTCGTACCTTTATGAAGGTTCTTGAAGATTATCACAACTCAATGAGAAAACTGCCTGATGAACCGAAGATTGATAACTAGAGATCTAAATATTGAATGAAAGACAAATTGTTTTATTCTTAAAAGCGGGTTTGAGTGGAAGCCCTTTTTAATTCCCACGGTTATCCATCCTTTAGGCATCGCAAACCAAATTGAATTCTACTTGTTTTTCTAGACAAGTTAAAACAAGATTTTAGAAATTTGTATCACTGTTTCGAATACCTCTCTATCGTGTTTACCGCTTCTTGGTCATAACTGAAATTTCATAAATTATTCTTATAAATGTGGAAATGTCATAGTAGCAAAGGGAGTATTTTTATCAACTGATGATGACTTGTGAAAACTTTGCAACATTCATCAACGAAATAAAAGTGTAAGTTGACCAGACTGGATCGCAGGAACAACGCCGTTTTGAATGGCTCCTGTGTTGTTTGCAAACACCAGCTGTCTTTCTACATGCAAGACGCAATGCTAAAAACCTTCTGCAGCTCCATCATAGTTATAAAATAATTTAGATATATATCAACAAAGTTGAAATGGTAAATTGGCCACTGTATCGATTACAAAAGCTGACGTTTCGAGCGTTAGCCCTTCGTCGGAGCGAATGAAAACCTCGTGTTCACTGTTTGACTCGTAAACAGACTAGTAAGAGTACTATCCGCAGTACTCGACATGTAATGATCCCCAAACTTGTAGTTTAGAAACTCTTGAGGTAATATCCTAAGGGCCTAAGGGGGGGGAGGGAGGGGGTACATCCCGTAAAGAGGCCGCTATATGGGATCGAATTTTCACGGTTGCATCATTATTGGAGTAACTAGAATAGGGTCGCACATTTTAGATATTGTGGGCATAAGAAAGTTCTGGTACGTAGGCATTTAGAAATGGGAAGATTCGCAGTTAAAAAGTTGTTATATTTGCCCAAGAGTCACTTGCCTTCTGAAAAAATTGACCCAACACCGGCCCACCGGCCGTGGTGTACCCTTCTTTGAACTCTCCGATCGAATTGCGTCCATTTGAAGGTTTTTTCGGAAAATACAACTATCTTCGATGACCCCGTTATCAAAGGCGTTCATTCCAGCCTGTTTGTCATAAAGTATATATATTAACAGTCACATGCAAGAACAACAGCGGCGAGGGCCACAATGTTGAAATGTAAGGTTTATTACCTTAGTATTTCTTTTCTAATTTATTTCACCAACTTGAAATCCGGTAGCAAAACCAGCGGAGACCTTTGTGTACTTGATAATGAATCCATTTGCGAAACTTGATCGAGGAGAAATGCTCTTAGGTTGGTTGGATTGATGTAAGAAAATCATTTACATATAAAATGAAGTTGTAGACTACGCGACGTGTATAGTATTTCTGATTTCTAAGTTTAAAACGAACCAGTCACAAAGTTTTATGGTATGTAATTATGTTATTTATAGACTACGCAAACTGTTTCATTACTGATTGGTCAATCATAAATACATAAAAGGTGATAATACAGGATCTCCGTATTTCACTATCTCGAAATATCAGCCTTTATTGTTAGATAAAACATATTTTAATTCTCAAAATTACCACAAAATCACTAAGCTTGGTTTGTCACATAGGTTGTATTTAAATAATTCAGAGAAAATGAGCACCGTGGACAAACTAGCGTTTGAAAGAGATTTTGGTTGTAATTAGATAGGCAATATTAGTGTCATAATATTCACCCGCGTTCATGCAATTTTCTATGCCTATCCTTTCGTTAAGAGAAAACAATCTTTACTTGGCAAACCACTTGAAAAACTTGATCAGCTCCTCACAGAAGAATGGCCAGTGTTGTGAACACAATGAAACCAAGGATCTGCCACATCATTGGACGATATCCTATCACGTGACAAACAAAATGCAAACAGATGGTGATATGTTAAAGCCTGGAACATTTCACTCCCATACCCAGGCCATTATTACCCTGATGATCTGTCGGGGAAAGAAATACATTTTACGTTCGTTCCGCTTGATAAGGAAAGGGATGTCACGAGGTAGGATGTGCACCATACCCGTTTACAGTTCTGTTTTTTACGCTGCTGAGAAAATATTTACTACATGTCTTTCGTTCTTAGGAGATTCCCAACATTGTGTTTTCACCGCGATTCTCATTTATGGCGCTGTCTTCGTTCAATCACATGATATCAAAGGAAGCTGTGAGGTTAGAACGAGAAATATCGGGGTGAGTTCACCCCAGTTACTTCAACCGCCCGAAGGATACGTAAATTCTGGTTCGAAATTTTTTAACAGTATCATGTAAACGGAAAAAAAAACTCTTTCCCGTGTGAAATCGACCTCTTTGTGGACTAGAAAGGGTAGGGCATGCGCGTTTTTGTCATCAAAGAAAGCGTCGTCACTTTGGACAAGGGAGGAGAAAAAAACCGCAACAATTTGGACACGAAGTAGTCATGCCGGTACAGCTAATGCGAGTTTTCTGAAATAATACCCCTTGAGATAGTGGGATGGTAATTTCCAGAAAACCCTTTACTTTTTAAAGAGGATCTAAGCTCAAGTTAAATCGATTATATCGATAGAGGTAAGGCACTTCACTGCAACTATGAAAGGTCACCTTGGGAAGCACTTGAGGTCACATTTAGAGTCACTGTGGTCGTAGAATTCCATTCCGCTTTGAAACCTTTGAAAGCTGCCAGGTCGTCTGAGTGGAACATGATATACAGGGACTGGGACGAAGCCGTTATTGGCTTTGGAAGAGTTTTACCACAATATTTTCCTGCAAATACACAGCGCGGTAACTAAACTCGTAACTCCTAATAAAATGTTTATTAATCTTAGTTTAGTTTCAACCTTTTGGCGAGTTTGTTTCTGATGAGTCTGAAACATTCCGGGAAAATAGACACATTAAAATGTCACTGAAAATATTCAACAGTTCGAATCATTGCAAAAACTGAAAACCTGCCTTGGAATATCCTCAGAAAGCGCACTCTTTATCTGGTGCATGACGTCACGCTGCGTCATGCTTTATCGTGTTAAGTTACGATGCCTTACGTAAAAAGAAGTTATGTATGGCCATATCGTGACGAAACTTTTCGTGTTTTTACGGCCGTTTACTTTCGTGGTTTCTTAAGTTGGGTTAGGTTGAGTGACGTTAAGTTGAAAAATTATGTGTTATTTTGCTTTTACCAATCAAAGGAGCTGTTTTGTCTATTCCATCCCGAATGATAACATAGTCTGCAGTGCAGTTGATGCTCTCCTCCAGTTCAAACGATGTAAACTTGAGCTTGAGATCTTTATGTTCAGCATCAAGTGAGATAGTCCATGCGCAGTTCAGTTTGTTGGGATACACGGTGTCATGGTACGGCGTTACGATTTCACCGTTGCCTCTTGTGTTCCGCTGAATGCAGTCTGCAAACGTAAAGAAAAATGCGGGATAACGGCCTAAATTTTTTGAAAATTCTGGTGAGAGCCAAGAAACCAAAAAACAGGTTGGAACATCCTAAAATGGCTACATAAGGTTCATTCAACTGTTGAGGAAAGGTAATAGAAGTCAAGAATGCGAGGAAGTCATGTGTTATCTGACAACTATTCACCGGAGCTGGCTCGTAGTAGACATTATTAACCAAGCCGCAAACTAAGAGGTGAATAGTTGAAAATTATTCACCGAAAAGGCGGGGGGGGGGGTAGTACTTGCTATTAACTTCCGAACTAACCAATCAGCGCGCGCGAAAAGCACTTTTCTGTTGTGTGGTAGATACTAACAAAAGATATTTGGAACCTTACGACAGCCGCCAGTCAGAGCACAGCTTCGAAACAATCCATTGTTTTTGTATATTGAAGTAATAATAAAGCCCCAGCCTATATTTCGCAGGGCATGAAATTTTCATTAGATATCTTATGTCAAAACGTCCTATAAAACTTACCGGCCCTTTTCATTTCGCACTTTTCATTCGTCATGTTGGAGACCAGCTTCGCCACGCTGTCTGTTGTTCGCGCCAAAAACATCATCATCTCTGGGGTCACGTGATTCGTGTTGTCACAGTTATTGTGATAACATTTTGTCATGAATCCTCGGAAATTCGCAGAGTCTGTTAAAAATATCGCTGGTAACGTTGGCTTCGCATTCCAGAAGTGGTAATGGTCTGAACGAAAGAAATCCTCCATATATTTTTTAGCGTCTTCGGGCCAATCTTCCGGTCGACCAGACGAAAAAATGTTGGGTATAGGCATGGCAATTGTTAGAAAGTTGTCTAAAAATAAGGGGAAACATTTTCTTGAAACTTAATGGGAAATTAAGAGTGAACGAACCATCTAATATATATATTATTTTATCTAAAAAGTCCTTTTATCAAAGTTAGGTAATATGGCTCTCTGCAAGGGTCCTACATTGCAAGTTTGAGTTTTTTTTTTTTTTTTGTGACTGTGCTTTGCAGAGACACATTTTTGTTGTGGTTCAAGATCTTTAGAATTTGTTCAAACAGCATTACACCAACAAGGAAAGAAAGCTTAGACTTTCAAATGTTTCGCTGATTTGTTTTTCTAACTTAAGACGGAGGCTAACATCGACCCCATTTCCAGGGTCCTCTCTCTTCCTCCCCCGAGAAAGGAAGTGAGGGGAACCTGAGAATGAGGTTGAGGGGAAAACACGATAGGTGATACGTAAATGGTTATTTCGAGTGAGTCCAATAACAAACAATAAAATTCGAAGTTAATAAATTCTCCGGTGTTTCATTTGCGCTTTGGGGACAATCCCCAAGTTCAACAATCCTCAAGTCCTAAAAAAATTAAAAGCGTGCAAAATGTTTATGCCCTCGCTGAAATCCAAAGAGTGGAAGTACCTTGGCTTAATTAAAACAAAAAATATTGAGCTAAGTAACAAAATACCACACGAACACACCATCTTCCTTGTAAGAATTTGTTATTCCATCGATGAGTCTTCTGTCATACGTTGACCGACCAATAAGAGCCAAGAAGTCACCCTTGAACTGGTTTTGCGATATTTTCCTGTATGTCTCTCCAAAAAAATTCTTCAAACCATCCGGAAACACCTGAGAATTTGGTGTAGTGTTGTAGTTTAGAATGGTTTCCAAAACAATGGCTCCTTGGAAACCAGCTCCACTGTTGTTGAGGTACTGAGTGAAATTCTGTACGAAATAATGGCTTCCACATTTACCACCTACACACGGGCAGTGTCCTGACATAAAGCAGCTGGTGTTGACGGTTAGTTGATTTTCTTCCAGATCGAAGGCGACGAACAAAAGCGTATAATCTCGTGAACATTTCTGTTTGTCTGAAGGAGTTTCACAATTTAGATAATAATAATAATAATATAATAATAATAATAATAATGATAACGATAATGATAATAATAATAATAATAATAATAATAATAATAATAATGATAATAACATTAACTGACCACTCCCCCAATTAGGCTCATACCGCCTCCACTTCAAGATATTCTTGAACCACAGCGATTTTTTCTGTCTAAATGCATATCCTCATCACCCGCCAAGAAAAGGTCGGTGAGCACTGAAGAGAACTCATAAAATAATGAGCGCTAGACTTGCGTCTTTTGAATCTCAGTTTGCTTTTCTAATCGGGGTCTGTTGCAATTCACTGCTCGACCTTTGGGAAAGGGGTTTACTTTTCAAAATAAGCAGTAAAATCGGGTGACGCCCATAAAAAAAAAAAGATTCTTGGGCTATCATGGTCGGGAAACGATATATATACTTAAATGACATCTATATCTGAACCTAAAGCAGTGGAAAAGATAAACTCTGAAATTGGCGAAAAGCTGAATCAGCTCCTTACAGCGCACGGACATTTTCGCACATAACCAACATCACACCTGGACTAGCATGTTGCTTTAAAACTTGTAGCAAGGCTGTCATCCCTGATCCGTTATCGTCCACACCGGGAGTGGTCGAGACTGTGTCATAGTGAGCGCCAATAAGAACAATCTTATCATCACGTGTTCCGGAATAGCGACCAGGCAGTCGGCCAACAACGTTTATGCCTGGAAACTAGTAAAAAAAGGAAGAAATGTTTGGTTGGGTAAAAATTCCCCAAAGCAGACTTCTAAGGCCCTTAAGTCTCTTGAAAGTAGGTGGAAATTTTGTGCCTCGTAAATTGAGGTTTTGAATATTTTATGAAATATTGTTCAACCTCTTCCAGTAATTGCTTTAAAGTATGTTCCAAAGAAACACTTTTCAACACTCAGTCAAGTTTTCATTTGTTCAATCTCTCTTAATGATAAGTTATTTACCTTGTCGTTATTGCTCTTGAATTCCTCAGTCCACGTTTGCAGTGCATGATCCTTGAAAGTTGTTTCGATGTAGTCACGTGCTTTTTGTTTGGCAGCCGGGTCGATGTTCACATTTCTTGTATTGTTGAACTTGTTCAGTATCGCGCGTAGAGACTGGGTCATAGTCAAGGAATCCGCCGTGACCCATACTGCAAAACAAAACAAACAAAAACCGAAAAGAAATGTTAAAAAAAAAACAAACAAAAAGAATTATCTGGTGGTTCTTTAAGCTTGTCGATTGCTGACCGTAAACCGTCAAAATGGAATATTTAAAATCTTCATCTATGCATAAAAGTTGGCATAACGTCAAACGACCGTGTTCAATTATTTCTCGAAACATTTAGTTGTGTGTCGGCTTTAGTGCCATAATTCACCCTTTACACCCTAGAATTAGTAGACATATTCTGCATACGGTTCTCCAGACATTTCTTGAGGCGCTGTTAAGGAGAATTTGTTTAACAGTCAAGAGCTTCATTAGTTGGTGATCGTTTCCTTTATTCTCGTGACTTGAACGTGTGATTAGGGGTGATATTGTAAGGAGAAATAAGATACTAGTCAAAGGGTTAACGGACTCTATGAACATTCTTATCTGATACATTCTGATGAATGGCTTGTTATCATTGTTAGTTCTTTCACATTAATTTTTCCATTGTTTCCTGCTTTATCATCATCCTCTCGAACTTTTTGCACTCAATACCCAGCAAAGTCCAAAATAAAAAAAAATCATTGCAGACAGTAGGATTCGTTAAAAATTCAAGTACGTGATGATCCCAGACAACGAAAAATGGAAAAGGGGCAACATCGGATCAAATGTGATAAAAGATAACAATATGGGTTGAGAGGATTTCACATCGGAACAAGCGATGACGTAATACAGAGGAGGTCGGCCTAGGAACGTGGAAGTATCTAAGGAATTCTAAATCTACTTAGCAAAGTTGGAGAACATTTCAAATCCCGTTCATGAGATTCGAAAAGATTCTTGGCTCTACAATCATTGGAATTTGGACAAACACTGCCTAAGTTGATACACTCATACGTGTCTAGGCGTATCGAATCCTTTCGTGAGGTCAAGGGAGGGAAAATTCGCAAAGTTTAGCAGTCGTTCTGCCAGTCTGGTCACAGTGAAAACGACTTCCGCCTCATGTCGACTCTACAGTTTAAACAAAACGTGTTTCTCGTGATCCTTTGTCTTTTGGTTCGAGTTCCGCAATATTTTTATCACTACTTCTGCGGGGAACAACCCATATGAAATACCATTATCCGTTTTTCTTATTCTTTTGCATTTCTTATTTGACCTGAACTTCAAAGTTCTAGCAATGCTTTTATCACCATTAAAGGACAAAAAAAAAAAGGAAGGAATTTGAATATTCAAAGACGATTTTATTTCTTAATCCCCCTATTATTTGAAAGTGTGGAATCAGTTCACCTTTTTTCTTCTCATTTAAAAATTACAGCAAAGGAAACAGAACTTAGACGACGTAATTAAATACTTATTAGATATCGGAAATCGATGAAGCCTTTGTGTTCCCACGTCAACGAAGCACGGTCCGATATTCGATGAAAGTGATACCGAAATCGTATCTGGCCCCAGACCACTGAAGGAATATGACAGCTGAGATAAAGCTTTAGAGTTAAATTTGCATTTCTCGGATCAAAAAGCCTAACGAAGAAGTATGGATTGTCTGCGACACGAAATTTAGTTTCAAAATGGTAGGGAGTTTCGCAAGTACAATATTGGACTTGTAGTTTTTCGATGGACAAGATAACCAATTGGGTAAAAGGAAGGAATTGATTGAGTCGTAATCCTTTTATGGAAATCATATCGTCAATAAAATTTTAAGGGATTCTGTCAGATTTAATCCTGGTGTGGTAACTGATCCCATCGGCACCAACTTCACTTCCTGTGTACAAGCCAGAGGATGTAGCAGCGGTCCTTGAATAACGACCAGTAAAATAGAGAAACCATAGAAATGATACATGTAAAAACTCGTTCAATAACACGAAAAGCTTCCTACAATTTACGGTGGTTGGAAGCTGAAGGCCGCGATGTTAATCTATCAGGAATTGCAGTTAACTCCAAAGGAGAGATCGCCGTGTGCGATCAAGGATGCGACCGTCTGATCATTTTGAACGAAGATGGAACATTCAAAGAAACAATCGGCAGTAGTGGAACAGAAAAAGGTAATTTATCGTTACCTGATGGAATAGCGTACAACAAAAGCGACCATTTGTTGGTTTCTGATTATGGAAAGCATCGTATTCAACTGTACGATTGTAGAGTTGGTAAATTTTGTTTTTCATTCGGATCTGGAGGATCGGCTGATGGACAGTTTTACTTTCCTTGTGGCTTGTCAATAGACGAACATGACAATATAATCGTTAGCGATTGGGGTAACAAGCGAGTTCAAGTTTTCGATGAACGCGGAGATTTCAAGCTGAGCTTTTCAAGTCAAGCAACGTTTGGCGGGAAGAAGCTGGGATTTGGTGAGTCACCCAAGTTAAGCGAGCCACAACATTGCATAGCCTTCAAAAACCTATATTTTATGACGGATGGCTGTGCAAACTGCGTTAAAGTATTCGATGAAAGCGGAACATTTCTGTACAATATAGGCTGTATGAATTCTCCTCAAGGGATCGCCGTTATTGAAAGCGAGATTTTGTGTGTTTGTGATTCGAATAATAACTGCGTGAATTTGTATTATCCTGATGGTACTTCTGTTTCTAGTGTCTCCGATTTAACCTGGCCAATGTACCTGGCAAACGGATCAAATAGAGAAATTTTTGTGAGTGAGAGAGGAGCTTGCCAAATCACTGCCCTAAATTGTCCATTCTGAGGAGAATTATGTTACAATATTTTTAAGTTGTCGTTTATGTTGTTTAAAGTAATTGAACAATGACTTTTAATGAAAACAAAGTATTTTTGTATAATAGTACGTTTGCCTCTACCAAAAACGGCACAAATAACTTTAGAGGCAACTAGCGTGGATAGTTTGAAACGCATTGTAAATAGCAAACTGAAAAAAATGAATGAAAATTTTATATTTTAAAAGTGGAGGAAAACGTTCGGGGGCTTGGGTTTGATGATTTCGGCACGCATCGGTCATTGCATGAATATAAATTTGTAAGTGATACAGGTCAACAAAATGGTACAAAAAAAATGTCATCTGGATAAATTCCTTGGTCCATCTAAAGAGTTTTTTCCAACTATGCGAAGGATAATCTAATACCCTATTTATCCCCTTCTTGCGGTTTGAAAACATCATGTCTGTAGCAACAATTATGGAGCTTTAGTCAGGTTTGAATGGTTTCCATGCGTCATTTTCGTGCATTTATAAAATGTCTGTTTGTAACGATTTTACGAGCTTATCTTTAAAGTTAACTGTGATTGCAACAGTATTATCTGCATCTAATAGACTAAATAATGTAATCATTCGATTACTTAATTGCGAACGCAAACTGTAACTCTTTGATTTACGAAATAGCTCATGTCTAGATTAAAAGAAAACATTTGAATTGAAAATTCCACGTTTGATTTATCATAAGGACCTTTAATTTCTTTTGTCTCTGGACGTACTTTTATTTAACAATTACTACTCTTTTCATTCTAAGATCGTACTTTAAAAGTAAGTGTAATTTTCGATCTCTGATATGAGGGGAATGGAGTCAGGAAGTGTGTAGGACTATATGAATTCGCCAGTCTTTTGTCAGACGTTATTTTTGTTAATTCAAGATCCGCATTTCTTTTAAAACGGTTTTCCTCCCTCGCCCTAGCTATATCCAGCTCGTCACTTTTCTTGTTTGGTCCGCTTTCGCCCCATGTCCTGCCCCCATCTTGGATAAAACGGAGCAGGTATATCTGCAACGCAAGCGAGAATATCGGCAATGCCATCCACAACCATAACTTCTAAACAGCCAGCATCCGCAATCCGAGCAAAAATTTTCCGACTTGCGATTCGCGGTATTTTTGAAATTCCTAAGTTCGATGAAAAATATTCTAGGAATTTGTACAGAGTTTTTCTTAAAGACCAAATCTGCCACATCGAAATATAATCACTCTGCTCCAAGATAAGAGATTTTATTTCTTTCGTTAACTTTTTGAATCAGAATACGTATTTCTCAAGTGGAACTTTGATTTTCAAGACGAGTCAGCACTCCAATTAATTGGCGACCATTTAGCACACCATACGAAAGGAAATAATATTGCGAAAACATTTGCAGCAAAGATCGACAGTTTGGTTATCTGAGGTCAAAGTTAAGAGGAAGTACACATTTTCACCAAATGAAAATACTATCCTGCCGTGATGTTTTCTTGGATGGACTTTCTTGATTTCAAAAGCAATCTAGAACGTCATGTGGTACTAAATAATCTGTCCGTAACCTTTTTTATTCGGATGCCTAAATTTCTCTTCTGGCGACCACTTCATAACTTCAGTTAGACAAACCGTGGAACTCACATGTGGTCACGTGATAGCAACAGCGTGATCTACCATCAAGAAAATTTTCCCGGAAACTGAACTATAAAACAGCGGTTTCCCGCACAAAGAAATCGAGTTGTATATGTTTTGGTTAATTTATCGCTTGAGTTAATGATATAAATTGGCCATCGTAAGGAGATTCTAGAGCTGATATTTCGTGCGGTTAGCCCTTCGTTAAAGCGATATTTTCTTTCAGAAACTTAGGGCTGACTGGTAATCACATGACCATTCATCAATATTGCAAAGCATCCCGCTTGGACTGCACGTGATACAATTTATGCCACAAACGCGCAAAGTTGCCTATACACCTCAAATTTCCGCTCTCATCAAAGTGCAAGTACCCATCTGGACCTACCGTTTTTTTTTGTTTTTTTGTTTTTTGTTTTTTTTGTCATTTTAGCCGACGTGTTGTACATCGGTAGATAAAAAATTGAGATTAAAGTATTTGCGATGTCATCCAGGACTTAAAAAACGTTATACTTACTTAGTGGCCTAGGTTCAATTAAGGTTTCATATGCATTTCGCACCACTGACAGTGGAGATACCTCAGAAAAGTAAATTTGCATTTTGACAATAACAAACCTGTAAAAAGACAAATTATCATCTGCAGCACGGAATTAAATCTTGGAATAAAAACAAGTTTATATGTGGGTTTCATCAGAATTGTAATTTTGCCGAGGAAACCTTGACGACCGACTGCAAAAGCGATCGGGGAAATAGAAAAGGAAATAAAGAAAATTGTATTTCGTTTTAACAAACAACCTTTTGTCATGCAAATTTTTTCAGATCTCGATTGTATATTGTACCATACTTGTCATCCTCTTGGCACCGAATAACTTCCTGTTGATGCAGTGGTGGCCCGTACTAACTACTAAGGTACATAAATGAGAAAAGCTGTAGAAACGATACACGTAAAGCCTCCTCCAATAACGCAAAAAGCTTCCTACAATTTACGGTGGCTGGAAGCTGAAGGCCGCGATGTTAATCTATCAGGAATTGCAGTTAACTCCAAAGGAGAAATCGCCGTGTGTGACCAAGGATGCGACCGTCTGATCATTTTGAACGAAGATGGAACATTCAAAGAAACAATCGGCAGTAGTGGAACAGAAAAAGGTAATTTATCGTTACCTGATGGAATAGTGTACAACAAAAGCGACCATTTGTTGGTTTCTGATTATGGAAACCATCGTATTCAACTGTACGATTGTAGAGCTGGTAAATTTTGTTTTTCATTCGGATCTGGCGGGACAGCTGATGGACAGTTAAGCTTTCCTTGTGGCTTGTCAATAGACGAACATGAAAATATAATTGTTAGCGACTGGGGTAACAAGCGAGTTCAAATTTTCGATGAACGAGGAAATTTCAAGTTTAAATTTTCAAGTCAGGCTATTTTGGGGAAGACATCATGGGGATGTCGTGACTCGTCGGGCATAAGCGAGCCACAACATTGTGTAGCTTTTAAAAACTCATACTTCATGACCGATGGATGTGCAAACTGCGTAAAAGTATTTGATAAAAGTGGGACATTTATGAGTAATATAGGCTGTATGAATTTCCCTCAAGGGATCGCAGTTACCCAAAGTGAAATTTTGTGTGTTTGTGATTCGAACAATAACAGCGTGCAATTGTATTATCTCGATGGTAAACCGATTTCTAATTTTCCCCACCTAAACTGGCCAATGTACCTTGCCACAGGGGCAAATGGAGAAATTTTTGTGAGTGAGAGGGGAATTTGCCAAATTACTGTCTTAAAATTGCCTTATTAAATATATAAAATTTGAGCCGACTCCCTAGTTCATTTAGCTAATGGCCTTAAAACCAGACATATTTTGCATACATATCATATTTCGACGAATCGACTTAACGAAACAGTAGCAGCTGCTAACTGCCTCGATGTAATTCATACAATTTTTGAAATAAATGATTATTGGAAGAGTTTCTTATAGTTCACGTGTTTGTGTGTGTGTTTTCCCTTTTTTGTTCAGCTGAGTAAAGGCCCAACGTAAAAATATTGCGCAATGCTGGTTCCATGTCACGCAATGTGTCATACTACTGAGGAGGGAAGCATTGGGGTCTATTAGACACCGCAAAACCGCAAAGAAAAACTCGATCAAAACCGAAAACCGCATTAAAAACCGTCTAAACCGATAAATCTGCACATCTTAGATGTCAAACTCCTACTCGATCTGAATAAAGGCTGATAGTTTCTAAAGAAACTGTTTGGGGCTGCGTTGGTGTGGGTAACAATAATTTGGATATATTAACAAAGTTGAAATGGTAAATTGGCCACCGTAACGATTACAAAAGCTGACGTTTCGAGCGTTAGCCCTTCGTCGGAGCGAAGGGCTAACGCTCGAAGCGTCAGCTTTTGTAATCGTTACGGTGGCCAATTAACCATTCCAACTTTGTTGATATATCTAAATTATTCCTAATCGATCTAATACTGTGGTTACAAGTGGAGCAACATAGGTTTCGCGGCTATTCGAGATCAGCAGAGGCGTATGAGGGTCTAGATGGGGTTTAGTGTTAAGTGTTATTTGGCCGTTTTTTAATATTTAGTGTTAAAATTTGTAAAATTTTAATGTTTAGCGTTTTAAAAAAGTTAACTGTTAAGTGTTAAAAGGTGTTAGAACAGTGATTTCACTCATTAAAGATCAATAAAAGGTTCATAGAGAAGGCAATAATGTTAGAAAAAAAGGACTAAGATTCTTCAAACTTAGCCCTTATGATAATGGGTCCAAAACTAGAAACAAAAGAAGAGCCTGCCCGGAACTGACTGAACTGGTCAGCATGCATACTTTGTGCTCATGCGCATAAGTTCTTCAGACATTTTGTGGTCAGCGGTTTTTAGCAGACTTCTGTATTGCAAAAATGGCCGCCACGTCCGCATCGGTGGGAGTGACATGCCATTAGAGACAGCGAGTAATCCAAGCCGAAAATAGACTGGACACTAGAAATAACTCAGAGTGAGTTGGTACCTAGTCACGATAAGTGCGAATTGCGGGAAATTGAAATTCCTGAATAAATCCCGACTTTTTCAATTCACTGTTGATCTAATGGAAATGAATACTTCTAATGCAACTCGCAGAAGAAAAATGCCCCACGCCTTCAAAGCGGAGATGGCGTGGTTTGCGAAAGGCTTTCATCAGCCAAAAACTAAGCGTGAGATATCCGCAACAACTATTGATTCATTTCAAGACATGATATGGGATAAACCCTTCGACGATCTTATACCTACTTACGGTAATTTTTTTTTCCATTTGGAGCTACATATTTGCTCTTGAAAGGAGACAAACCAACTTCACTT